AAAATTAAAATATGAATAGAAATGGATTTGATGGATTTTTTTAAATTAAACAATTTCATAGTTTATTTAAATCATATTGCTTTGACTGAAAATCATTTCTCTCCCTCCTCTCTCTCTAAATTTCCCTCACTAGAAAGCTCTCGATTTAACGTTGGCATCCTCGTCGTCGGATTCAACCCCTACGATGGGAGATCATTAGGGGGAGTACGTGGGCTCAATTGTTCAACACAGCTCCTGAGAACCGAATGCATTATCAGCTTCATAATCGTGTGAATGATGGATTTCACCTCTTTATAGAAGTGAAGAAAATATATAGGTGAGGAACGAGGGCGCGACTCTTTAATAGACCAGTTCGCCAGAGCTCAACCTAAGGTTGCTGAATTGCAGAATTGGGCTACTACTCTTTGGGTGAGAGATGGTACGGTTAGGGTAACCCGAGGTAAAAATCCCAAAATACACATGTTTTTAAAAAAATTTCCCAAAATACACACGTTATAAAATTTTTTCCAAAAATACACATGTTTGGGCATCACCGCTGTTGTCAACCGCAGTGAATGCATTCACCGCGGCAGACCAAAGCATTCAATGCATCACCGCGGTTGACCGCCGCGGTGAATGCCTGACGTAACACTGAAACTTCAAACAAACGTAACTTTGCGCTCGGTTATCCGATTGTAGTGAATTTTTTTTTGATTCCACATAAGCTTTCAAGATCTTTCAATCTGAAACAAGACTTCATCCAAAAAAAAAATCATTTGCTACCCCGAACGAGCAATTTTTCGATTTTGACAAACTTTGGAAGATCATAACTTTGTGCTCCCCAATCCGAAGTCATGAAACTTTTTTTGATTTTGCATAACTTTTGAAGTGCTACAACTTTGATTATAACCATAATTTTGGAAAGTATGTGGATTTGTGAAAAGTAAAGGCAAAGTTATTCCAAAAATCCCGTATACCGAAAAATAATTCTTTTTTTAAAAATTATTTCCTAGTCAAAGTTGTAGTTCCTAAAAAGTTACGCGCAATAAAAAAAAAAACTTTACGACGTTCGTATTGCGGAGCTAAAAGTTATGTCGTTCCAAAGTTTGGCAAAATCGAAAAATTGCTCGTTCGGGGTAACAAACGACATTTTTTTGAGATGAAGTCTTCTTGCAGATTGTAAGATCTTGAAAATTTATATGGAATCAAAATTTTTTTCGCTACAATCGGATAATCGAGCGCAAAGTTACGTTTGTTTGAAGTCTCAAAGTTAAGTCGGGCATTCACCGCGGCCGTCAACCGCGGTGATGCATTCACCGCTTTGGTCTGTCGCGGTGAATGCATCACCGCGGTGAATGCATCACCGCGGTGAATGCATTCACTGCGGTTGACAACAGCAATGATGCCCAAACATGTGTATTTGGGGAAATTTTTTTATTACGTGTGTATTTTGAGAATTTTTTTTTAAAAACATTTGTATTTTTGGAATTCGTCCGTAACCCGATTTGGTTCTCGATTGTTTGTGTTCCAGTCCCCATTTATCACAACAAGTAAATGAGTATTCAAGTTTGGGGCATGCAACCAGATTTACTTTCGGAAGTGGATTCCTGGTATGCAACCATGGCGCGCGTCAAAGGTGCTGCAAATTTAATTACCCAGTAAATACATGAAATCTTCATGTCACATGATCCATTGTGAATTTTCCCTATAGAGCAATCATGAAGCTTCAGAATGAATAATGCAAAATGCAATATCTTCACGAATTGCCAGAATATTTAACGATTGCTATTTTTAAATTATAAAAAGGTTTGTCATAATAATTTTCCCCCACCTAACCCATTTTTAATTGTCAATAATAGAATAGAGCAGGTCCGTTTGTCCCCATACCCTACAGCTTGTCACTCACCAATGAAAAGGAATAGAGCAGGTACATTGGTACTCATACCATGCAAGCTTGCAACCTATGTCAGTTGAATATCAAAGTGATAGCTAACTACCAACAATAATATGCTAACAATAGCAATTGAAATGGTACAACACATAAACCACAAATGTCCCCGTATAAACAAAGGATTGATAAATATTAATAAACCCCGAATAAATGTTGAGGCGGTGCCTCGATCATGTACTCCTAATTCAGGGTTTTTAGTTAATTAGTACCGATTTTTTTAATTTCCTTATTCTTTCACTAATCTGAGTCCTTCTCACCTGTCAAAGCAGAGCATCCAGCAATTAAAAAGAGAAAGTTAACCTATTTAAAACACAAGTGGCGGGACAATCCATAGACCCCACTTCCAATCTCTCCTCCATTATGTTATGTCGTATTAATTGATCAACGAAGTCAGGTCAAGTTTGTTTAATTTATCTAATGATGATAATGATAACTAACCTAGCGGTGATGACTAAGTGTCATGACATGAGATGAACAACAAATTGAGCTTCAGGGCACTGGGATTGCCACCTTTGGAATGCAAAAATTGGCCAATTGAATTCAGTTTCACTGCCTGTTTACATATGCAAGGGTTAAAATTCATTTACCTTATTTAGAAGAAAATTTCCTGAAATTTATCAGGGGGAACATTATGTTTTTGTAATGTTCAGTTGCTGTCTGCAGAATGTGCAGACCAATGCATATCAGCAACTGCACAAACCAGTACAATCTTAAGCATAATATGAAAAGATTTGTGCAAAGATTGATAATGCGAAAAGGGAAAATACCATGGGAACTTGATAGTTTTTATTATATGCTTCCCATGGCCGAGGCTCCAATACGTAAGTGCCACCATACTTAAACAAATATATTGATAGTTATTTCATGCCCAGAAATATGAAACAGAAGATACAAGATCAAAGATCACCAAGATCCAAGTGAAAATTCAAGTACTATTAAATAAATTGCTTCAATAACATGTATAAATAAAGGCAGCACAGTAGCAGGAACAACATGATACACATCTAGCAGAGTACAATGAACCAAAATCTAGACAGACCGATATGAACCAAAGTAAAGTTTCAACAAAATGGTGCAGAACTAGCCACCAAAGGGATCAACTTCTATTTGAGTGAAAGAGAATAGACAGAGATAGTAAATGGTGATAGGAAGGGAACCCTTCATAGTCATATCCAAGTGAAAGGGAGGGGGAAAAAAATTTGTAATGATGCATAACTAGCCACCAAAGGGATAAATTTCTACTCATCAAAGCACACCGAAACAACTCGTATGGATCGGGGAAAACCCCTTCCATCCACAACACAAACACAATCAACAACCAATCAAATGAATATCACCCGCTAGTACATCGTACTCCTCTCTGTTTTCCCCTACTTTTTAAGAAGAGGTAAAATCAACTGTGTTAGCACGAAGCTATTGTGCAGACTAAACAGAAAAGGCAAAGGGCTAGGGATGGCAATATTACCCATACCCATGGGTATTTTACTATCCAACCCAATTGGGTTGGGTATGGAATCCAAATAGATGTTAGATGGGTAGAGTTTGATGGGTTTGTACCCATACCCATTTACTTGGGTTGAGTTGGGTTTTTAACATATGGATTTGGGTTTGTATCCATACCCAAATACAAATTACAGTTTGGTACCTAAACTTAATAGTTATGTATATTTAGTACCTAAATTATTTTTTTTTTTGCATATAAGTCCTCAAAATATCTATGAAAAATTACGTTATAGTACCTAAATTTTTTTGGTATCACATTTTGGTGCCTAAACTTTTCAAGTTTTACAAATAGGTCCAATTTTTGTATGTGTAGTTAAAACACCCTCAAGTAAATGGATATCCATATCCAACCCATACCCATTTAGATAATATCCAAATCTAACCCAAACCCATACACACATCACCGAAACCCTACCCATTATAAATGGGTCTACTTGGGTTTGGGCAAAATTACCCATGGGTGGGTAAATTGCCATCCCTGAGGACTAACTGTTCTACATGCTCCACAGCTTCCACTAGCAACATCAACTGCACAGATATACAATAATGAATTCGCCAAAAGCAGTAGACCGAAACACAATCAATCACCGACTTATGCTAGCATGATCAAGTGAATAGAGATTGATCCCTTAGCTAGGGTGAGTTCGTGGTGAAAACTAACTAATCCACTAAACCACAATATATCAATCCTTCTCCATCGAATGGTGAGAACTATCATCTAAAACCAAACAAAAAACAACCAGTCCTTTACATAAATGAGTCACACTCCATGCATCCAGACAACCTTTACAACCTAAAACTCAGGGCCATTGCATGCGAACCTTCTCAAAACCAAATTAACAACAAGAACAAATAACACTAGAGTCAGTGCAAAACAAAAATGAAACCTAAAACCTATCTATATCCAGAACGAGAAAGGGATCAAAGAGAGATATAACCTTATAGCCTGAGATAGGGACCGAAGAGAGAGATCAGGGAATCGTGCTGCTTGGAATGGATGAGAGATCGCAGATATCGGGCGCCGCTCGGATTGAACGAGAGATCTGCCGTCGTCCGGAGAGAACGAGAAATTGGGCACCGCTCAGAGTGAACGAGAGATCGGGCGCCGCTGGAGAGACCAAGAGATTGGGCGCCGATCGGAGTTAACGAGGTCGGAGAACCGCTACTCGGAGTGAACGGGAGACGGAAGAATCGCTTGGAGTCAGGGAGAGATCGGAGAACTCGGAAAGGTTTTTTGAATTCGTTTAGTGATTTACTCGAAGGAGTGATGTGGCGGGGGTGGGCGGTTCTCAGTGACAATACTGAGCTCGAAATAGAGCAGCAGAGTGATTGGAATAAGTTTCCCAGTTTGGCTATTGAAACAAAGTTGGGCTGTAACAAGGGTTTCTAAACCCTCGGTGTAAACCGTCGTTAGAATATGTTCCGAAAATTTTAGCAGGGGTTTGTTAAACCCTTGCTACATAACCCTTGGTATAGGGGCTTTTTGTTGTAGTGAGGTCCGACGACCCTCGCCCCATCCACATCGCACAGTTGTGTATGGAAAAGCCATAACACGTTTGTATAGTCCTATTAGTCCACCAGCCTCGTGTCCTATAAATTCAATGTTGATTACTTCACTTCCTCCCACACTACCACCAACACAACAACAGTTAACGAAAGCAACCAAGTTAGGAAGATGAGCAATCTGCTATGCGGGAAGTTGGAGGCATGTTTTGCGATCAGACTCCCGGCGAGTCAGCACCACGACATCTTCAGCGGCAGGCCTCACCACGTCTCCGGCATGGCTCCGACGAAGATCAAGAACTGTGCTCTCCACGAAGGCGACTTCGGCAAAAAGGGCTCCATTGTTATCTGGGACTATGTTCATGGTATTTTCCTATATACCATTCACCAAAAAAATAATTTTCATTTACATAAGCTCAATTGAGGACTCAAAACTTATATGTGCTCAGATGGAGTTCACAAGGTGGCCAAGGAACTAGTCGAAGACATCGATGATGCGAATTTTTCGACCACTTTCAAGGTGATCGAAGGCAATCTTCTCAAGGAGTACAAAGAGTTCAAGATTGTTGTCAAGGCAACTCCCAAATCTGAGAACACTAGTCTCATCCACTGGACTATGGAGTATGAGAAGCTGAATGAGGATATCCCCGAGCCCTTCTCCCTGTTGAAATTTGTGGTTCATCTGAGCAAAGATATCGATGATCACCACACCAAAAAGTGATCACGTCAGTTATCTGGATCGACGTGATTACCCCATAAGCCGCATATATATGTGATTCGTACCCTTAATATCTGTAATGAAAAAGTGCATGCAGACAGCAGTACTGCTGCATCGATATACCTTTGTTTACTAGCAAGACGTCGCTACGGTACTTGTTCTTTCAGTTTCATCATTTCTTGGGTTTGTTATGTCCTCCTCGGTACCTTCGTGTTATGTTATGTCATGATGCTGGTGCCTGGTGATCATAGTTAGTAAATACTCCGTTTAATACACGTATATGTACCCGTACGTATTTTATCCGTTTAAAACTTCCGTATCCGTATTATTGTCAAGACGTTTCGTTTATTTCCGTTCATTTGATGGCTCCCGTACTAAACGCGTATAAAACCCGTATAACACGTTTAATATCCGTATTTAATGAATTAAATTGTTAAAATTTACTATTTTTATATAGTTATTTATTTTGACAATAATTATTTATTATATACTTATGACTATTAACGTACTATTAAACGTAACATTCGGTTAGAGACAAAGTAAAATACCCGTACGTATTTTATACGTAACTTTGGCGTACCGTATTTTACTAACTATGCTGGTGATATACGGCAATAAATAATGATAATAATAATGATTATGGGGAATTTTCAAATGTTGTGAATTGTGCTGCTAGATTTGAACCTGTCTGGGTGTATACTCGGGTTCATACAATCAGACCTAACATACAAATTTAAGGTCTTTATACCCAGGTGAGTGAGAGAGTTTACTCCATAGAGAGAGAAAGGAAATCTAGCTCAGATGCAGAAAACATGTTGTGAAGGATGAGATTCTGCTTCTGGAAATCAATCGGCACTTCTCCAATGGTGATGAAGATCGATCTGGGGGCGCTTGGAGACTCTGTTTCGTCACTCTCTCTCTCTCTAGGTATCTGCTTTCTTTCCCTAAAACTCGGAACCCTTGTAAAATTGGCCTTCTTTCCCTCAAAAGGGAGCAGATCGCGATACCCGGCCGGGTATTTTGAAACGCTGCGTTGCGACCATGGGAGAATACCTTATCGAGGTCCAAAATACCTAATCGAGTATTTAAGCGATCTGCCGGGACCCCTTCTGTTTCCTGGCCTCCAAAATATGTTATCCCCGGCCTCCTCCTGCATTTTACCTGGTCGGGTATTTTAACTCCTGACCGGGTATTTTCTTCTTCCATCGCCCTTCACTCCAACTTCCTCCTTTTTGAGTTTCCACGCCTCCATGTCCACACCAAGTCCTGAAATATGACATTAACTCATAACTTAGCGTGAAATCTGCTTAAAACACGAGAATCGTCTCTCAAACGCCTCAAGAATGAAAGCATAAACATGTGCAATTAATGGTCTATCACAAATCCTCAACCCCTCGCGTCGTTTGCTGTAATATCGCAAGTCAGATTACTGACTGGTTGGTTGTCGCTGGGAAAGTTGATCGGAAGATTGCTGAATCGTGGCTCAAAAGCCGGAAGCTCCATCTTGTCCCAGGAAGAAGAATGCTGGATGCTGCTGTTCGTGAAAATGCCAACCCGATAGGTTAACGAGAATTGCTATCTGTCCTGCTCGGGTCTCCTTTGGCCCTGCCTTTTTGTTTTCTTCGCTTTTGGCTGCCTGAGTATTTGCGGAAGGCGCTGTTCTTATTTGAAACAGCTCTTGTCCCGGGTCTCTCTGTACCCGTGTGTTTGTTTTCATTTGTCTTCCTCTGTTTTGTATTAGGCTTTTGACTTTGTAATTCTCAATTTATGTCACCATTATCCAAAAAATAATTTTAATTGTAACATATATAACTGATTTGTTTAGTAAGCTGTCAAAAGTCAAAACTCACACAATGATATCTTCAAATCTTATCGGATCTCAACCACAATTTTGTCGATACCAATTACCAATCACCATCCCTATTGCCTCGTTTATTCGTTTTCTATTTAGGTATATATGTGCAATTATAGGAGAAGAAAATCGCAATTTACTTTTTAGAAAGATTTCCATTATATATTGCAATTCTGGTAATTTTAACTATTTATTTATGAGCATAATACAAAATATTTTTTTTATAAAATCCATATGTGAAGTCCTCCATCCAACTGTCAATATGTCATACATTGATAAGAAATTCATTAATTAGAGGAAGAATTTCTGTATCCCTCTGAATTTTCTCCCCCCTATAATTGCACGGATTCTAGAGAGAGGAGCCTTTTTATACTAGTTAAAACCTATTTTTCTAACTCTTCATTTTTTCAATGGGTCCGTATCTCTTTTTTTTTTTCCCCATAGATATATAAATTGAGGCTAAATTACACGTTTGGTCACTCAAATTACATAAATCTTTCACGTTTGTCACCCGAATTATTTTTCTTTCTAATTGTCCACTAACTTTACGAATCGTTTCACCGTTAGTCACCGGCCGTTAGTTTCCGTCAAACTCCGTTAGTTTTTTGACGACGTGGCAAACGGGACTGATGACTGGATGGTTAACTTAATTACATGTCAATAAAAAAAATAACTAATAAATAATTAACAGGTGGCCTGCGCCCCACTGTGAACTTCCTCCGCTGATCGCCCGCGGCCAGCGGTTGGCTAGTTGCTGCCCTCTTCTGTTAGGAGATTCAATGTCCATCGGAGGTGTTAAGAACTTGAACTTATAGCACAAATCGATGATCGAACGACCACAGAACACACGATATATGTGGTATCCCCGAGATTCGGGACTAGTCCACGGGAGAGTATGACACTCTCCGGCTGCATTCTTATTATTGTCTTCGACAACCAGCTACCTTACAGAAGGTATATATAGTAGGATGGAAACCCTACTCGGCCACACCACAATCAACTGGGCCAAAGAAAGAAAATAAAGACCTTACTAATCGTCCACTACTCCTACTGTACGTATAAACATGGAAAATACAAGTATATGGGCTTAGCCCAATACATCAACAGCCTCCCCAAATTGATGCCGCTCGCGAAGCATCAATTTGCAAGACAGGTACCAATGGCGCGCAGATGTAAACACTTTGGTGAAAATATCCGCCACCTGCTCCTCTGTAGGAAGATAGTGAAAACAAGGTCACCAGCACAAACTAAGTCACGAACATAATGAATATGGAACTCAATGTGCTTAGTCCGATCATGTAGCACAGGATTGTTCGCGATGTGGATAGCACTAGTATTATCCACGTACAACGGCACTGGAGGTGGACAGGACACACCAAAGTCTGAGAGAAGGCGCCGAAGCCAAACAATCTCAGAACTCACATCCGACATGGCACGATACTCTGCTTAAGTGGAGGACTTAGACACCTTATCCTGCTTTTTGCACCGCCATGAGACAAAAGCCTCCCCCAATTTGACACACCAACCAGTAGTGGAACGACGTTTATCAACGCAACCTGCATAGTCAGAGTCAGAAAACCCAGACAAATGGAAAGTACCAGTAGAGGGGAAAAATAACCCAAGCTTCCGAGTGTGTCGTAGGTAACGCAAGATGCGATGAACAGCAACCAAATGAGCATCACTCGGGCGAGCCATGAACTGACTAACGATCTGAACCGCGTATGAAATATCAGGGCGGGTATGCGTCAAGTATAGTAGCCTACCCACTATGGAATGATACTGCGATCCATCCGGAAGAGGAGTACCGGTGTCACGGCTAAGCTTCAGGTTCAGCTCCATGGGGGTGGAAACAGGTTTACACTCATCAAACCGAGTATCATGCAGAAGATCATCAATGTACTTACGCTGACTTAACAAAATACCCTCAAGGGATCTAGTCACCTCAAGACCCAGAAAATAAGACAACGATCCAAGTTCCTTCAAATTGAACGCAGCATGAAGACCATCAGTTAACAATCGAATACCGGCCTCATCATCTCCAGTCACCACCATGTTGTCGACATAGAGAAGAAGAACAACCAAACCTGTGGATGAGGACCGCAGGAAGAGGGACAGATCATTGAGACTCTGCTGAAACCCCAGGCCAATGATAGTCTGCTCAAATTTCTCAAACCAGGCCCGAGGTGCCTGCTTGAGACCATAAATAGATCAATGAAGAAGACAAACGTGATCTTTAGTACCCAAAGAGTAACCAGGTGGCCGCTCCATATACACAACCTCCTTGAGATCACCATGGAGGAAAGCGTTCTTTACATCCAACTGTAACAAAGGCCATTTTTTCATAGAGGCAATGGAAATCAGAGTACAGACAGTCTGCATCTTCGCTACAGTAGCGAACGTCTCTGTATAATCAATCCCATACTCTTGACTGAATCTCTGAGCAACAACTCGAGCCTTATGCCGCTCGATAGAACCATCAGGAAGAAGCTTAAGAGCATAGACCCACTTACTGCTAATTACTGGAATTTCGGGAGGTGGGCGAGAAACAATTGACCACGTGTTGTTGGCATGCATTGCGTCAATTTCCACATCCATCACCTTGTTCCAATTAGGACCAAGAGCAGCCTGCTTGTACCTGGTAGGAACCACAACAGAATCAACATGAAAAGTCACAAAATCACGCATATACGGCTGGGGCTGGCCGCGCGTAATGCGATCCGCGACGAAGAACCACAGGAGGTGGAGTGGAGTCCGGTAATGATGAGTCCAACGAGGACGACGCGCCAGCATCAGGTGAAGACATCTCGGAGTGGGAATGTGTCGATGAGGAAGATGACGAGGCAGGAGACAGCGGGGGAGTCAAGTCGGGCGGTTGCTCGTCGTCTTCAGGGAGGAGGAGCTCATCTGGGAAAGACAGACTCAAGGGGACACAAGGTGGAAACAAATGACTCAGACTCACCAGTGGGAGAAAAGAAAGGAAGATGCTCAAAGAAAGTGACATTACAAGAGATGCAGATACGATCAAGAGCCGGGTCAAAGCACAAATAACCCTTGTGAACGTCACTATACCCAAGAAAGAAACAATGAGCTGTTTTAGAGGACAACTTGTCACGCTCACGACGCGGAAGAAGAACAAAGACAGTACAACCAAAGACTCTAAGATGATTATACGGAGGGTGAACAGAATGGAGAACAAAGTAGGGGCTACGATTCTCAACTAGAGGAGTAATCTGGTAATTCATCAACCGGACAGCAGTAGCAATAGCCTCTGGCCAAAACCAAGGGGGTACACCAGATTCAAGAAGGAGAGCTCGAGTTACCTCAAGAAGATGGCGATTTTTCCGTTCCACAATACCATTTTGCTGAGATACTCCGGGACATGACTGCTGAAATAGCATGCCG